GGAACCGTGGAGCTGAGCAGACAGGGCTCTGACACCTCAGCCTGGTCCCATTCCCCAGCGACCAAGGAGAGGGCAAGCCTGGCCAGCAATTTACTCCCCTCTGGAGAAGAGGAGGTTGGCCTTGCTGTCTACTCCAAATTCAGAAGGAACCGTCCTCAAGATACTCCGCAAATATAAGTCTATTAGGGCTAATTTGAAAGAGAGAGAGAGAAAGAAGGAGAAGGAAGAAAAGAGGGAGAGAGAAGCATGAATGCCTGTAACTGCTTATAGTCTGTAAATTGGCGGTTATTCATGCCAGGCCCTCCTGCTTGTCCCTGCCAGAGGTCAGCCAGAACTGATAAAACCCAGACCAGCTGCTGGAGTAAAAGGTGCTAAAACCACTTTGGCCAGGAGGGGGCCCCAAATTTCACTTAAATATGCACTTCTCTGGGTAATAATCCAGTTAGATCTCATTTGATATAATATGTATCCATCATCCTAGGGCATGGAAAGGGTCAGAAAGATTGCCAGAGACCCAGAGGAGGAGGGATGTGACTTCAAAGTCACAAGGCTGGGTTGTGGCTGAGTGGGACTAGAACCCAAGTTGGGTAAGTCCTGCTCTGGAGCTCTGTTCAATTCTTGCAGCATCTACAAGTATTTGTTGAGATCCCAGACATTTAAAAAAGGCAACCAGTTATTGAGTGATGGCATGTATAAAGCCCTGTGCTGGGTGGGGTGTATGTGGCAGGTGGCAGAGGTGCTATGGTGGGGGTGGAGAGGAAAAGGTGGTGCCAGAGTCGAAGTTCACTCATGGTCCTCAAGACCCCCAAAGGCTTTGTACTGGTTTGGAATACACAACCTAAGCACAGCAAAGCTAAAGAACAATTAAAGATTGAAATAAAGGTTCAATAAAGTAGCAGCTGCACTGTCATGGGGCAATGTATGATTAGTAACCAAGTGAATGATTAGCAATTGCCAGAAACTTTCTGAAGAGGAAGAGAGAATTATATTCTGCCTCTCTTGAGCATTTAACAGCTTTCTATGCTTTCTGTATGTTGTCTTCTTTGGAGTGGTCATAGAGATTCCATGTCAGAGGAGGTGGTGTGGACTCTGTGTATCAGACGCTGATAGGATTTTCATGTGCACAGAGGACCATGGAGACACACACGGTCCGTCCCAGCCCTTGAAGAGCATCTGCCTTAATGGAGGGTCCAGGCAGTGTGTGATGCTCATGCGAATGGGAAATTGGAACAAAGGATTTCGAGGTTCAAGGGAGAGCAGTGTTCTAGATCTGCAGGTATTCGCTGATGTGTTAAATGTGCTCTTTAACTGAACTCTTCCCACATGTAAAAAGGCTCATAGTCATGGTGGAAGAGAAAGATGGCAGGTCTAGCGCTACTTAGCTATGTGGTATCGGGCAACTTCTCTCAGTCTCAGTTTGCACCTCTGTAAAATCAGAGGAATAAATAACCTCTCTGGTCCTTTCCAATTGGAAAATTCTTTGGTTCTAAGCATTTACAATTAGGTGGTCTTGAAAAATCAGATTTTCCAGTATCAGTTTCTATCTTTATTTTGGGTCATCTTTCTCTTATTTAACCTAAACTTTTATTTGGCATTTTTATGATTATATTTTGTTATTTGGACTCACACAATGTCCTTGGGTTGGAGTCATCCCCAGTTCATAGATGGAAGGGGCAAAATAGGGGTTTACCAAATCTTCTGCAGCACTACTAGCAACTTGAGCAGATGTTTTCAACACAGACCACCCAGTGTACCTCCTAGGTGCTAGGCATGCTAGTGTATTGAATGGATGAGACACAGTCTTATCTCCAAGGAGACTTCAGCTGCTCTCGTCATTTCTGGGGAGTGCCAGGCATATGTGAGACACTTAGTAAAAAGCTATGGTACAGAAAGGAAAGCCTAAAGCGCTGCTGGGAAAGAAATATGCTGAAGCTGAAATGTTCCTGGGGAGAAGGGAGAGCGTGTACCATTTTATACTTAAAGCCTCTTGTACAGACGGCCCAGGAGGGAAAAGAGATTTTCTCCAACCAGTATTAATAACTCTGTCCAACAAATCCCCAGAGATCTCAGCACCATGGAGTCAGGGTGAGGACCAGTGTTCAGCTGCTTCCTCCAACTGAGGCAATTTGGGGACACAGGGGAAGCACCCATGTTGTGATTCAAGACCCTGAATTTAAGAGATGCCAGGCTGTCTGGGGTTTCTTTGGCTGGAAAAAGGCCAGTGCCTTATAGGTAAGCACCAATACACTCTCTCCTCCAGAGCTCTTGGGCTTAGAGTCACGTTCTATATGGATCCTAGTCCAGAAGAAGTCTGAGTGGGAAACCACTGGTGCCTCTTAGGTGAGTCAACTGCTCTGACTCCCAAGGGCACCAGGGTAAGTCAACTCCCTTCTTCTTCTTTCCCTCCAGCAGCTGAACCCCAGCTCTCCTCACCAGGGGCTTCTCGGGCTTAATTAGCACTTCCACAATGCCTCCTGGTCCACAGAGGAAGAGAGGTTGAATGCCATTATGAATCCTTTTGCTGTGAACCCTAAGCTGTCTTGATTCATCATCAGAGGCCCTCCCAGTTTCCCACAGCCCAGCCCTTCCTCCAGGGGAGCTCAGGGCTGAGGGCCTATCCCAGGTCTGCTCCCACCTCACAGGGACCGGGCCTTGCTCAAGGAGGTGATGCCTTGTCTCCTCCTTGTCCCCTCACAGCCACATCACCTTCCCTGGATGCCTGCTCCAATATCCACAGTGGTTTCCAGCATGTACGATAGAGAAGCCCTGTGCCTAGCATCAAGATCCCTTGCAGCCTGGAGCCCCCACACCCATCCTTCTCTTTATTTCCTTTTCCTGTGCCTTGTCCTCTCCCCTAACCCTCACACTAGTGGACACTGTCTTCCCAGTCCTCTGCCTGTCACCAGCTGTCAGGCTCATATTGCACACATTACTTCTCTTCCCTCCACCTTTTCTTCTCCCCCTGACCATTCCTTCAACAGATTCTCGTGCAGTCACTACTACTGTGTATAAGGCTCCCTGAGAGTGCAAAGATGTGTAAGATAATTTATAGCCAGTCCCTGAGCAGGAGGCACTTTCAGAGGCAATGAGGTGTGTTATGGACAAATACGCACATGTCAAAGCAGCTCAGGGAAGTCAGCTAGCCTGGAGAAGTTTAGAGGAGGCAGAGCGTTCCAAGGTGTTTCAAACTCGGCTTATCCTCCAGGGCCTACCACAGGGACAGCCTCTTCCATGAAGCTCTCCTTGATTACCCCCAGGCCTCCACTTGCTGGGGTCCTAATGCACTTTTTATTAGACTGTCTTCATATCTGTTTCTCAGCAGAATTCTACTCCTTGATGGAAGGGACGAGTATTTGTTGATTGGATTCATTTTTCAGTTCTACAAATATTAATTGAATTTCTTCACTCTCTTCCTTCTCTTAATGCCTTGTAAATAGAAGAGGTGCTCAATCCTGTAATTTCTAGAATTCTAGAATTTCAGAGATTTTAAATCCATTTATGTAAAACAGAGAACTAAAAAATATCTTCACAGGAGTAATTATTGCTAACAGTTCAGAGTGTATGGAGGAAGGAATCTTAAAAGACCATCTAGTTCACCACAAAGATTTTACAAATGAGAACATTAAGGCGAGTTTAATACTTTTGCCATTAAGTTAAGTGATTTGCCCAAGGTCAATATTTTGATAGTGGCCTCACTTGGTGTTCTAGCATCCTTCCCCAAGCAGGTTGGAGGAATAGTGGGGAGCTCTGTGCCAAGCAAATGTGTGAAGGAAGTCTCAGATTATACATGGGTTCTGACAATGCAGATAAAGAAATATTAATACAGTAAGGTCATAAAACCCTTCATCCCCATTTCAGATGCTTCACATTGGTCCACAGTCACAAAACTTTATTGTGATTATGAAACAATGGGATTAGTTGTGAAAACACTACCTCTTTAAATATTTGAAACTAGAATGGGGGAAAAAAATGAACTAGTTTGAGGGGAGGTAAATTGAATTAAATTGTAATTGTGCTCCGAGTGGACAAGTGACTAGGGAAGTCGGTTTTCCAGACTAGAGGAAGGTGGTGAGAAAGCCAGAGTCTGGGGCCGATGGTGCGCTGGCCCCAGACCCAGTGCATTTTCCCACCATTGTATGCTCCCTTCCCTCCCCTGGCCTGCGGACGGTCCCAGGGGAGCCTGGGCTTAAGGCAGTAGTGTTATGCAGTCTTGTAACCTCACTGGTAAACGATGTCAACGTATTAGTCACAGGCCCAGATCGATGGACGGCTCAGTCAGCGCATCGATCATATTTCCGGGGAGAATTCACCCTTTGTGACTCGCAGGGGGGCAGGTGGTTTGTCAGGAGAGGCTCGGCTGGAAGGATTTATGCCGCCCCCTTCCCACTGCCGTCTCCTCCTCGGGGGACCGGAACAGCAACAGCGGGATAATAAACTACTTCTCATTAAAGAGATCTGGGGAAATGGGAGGGGGAGGAGGACGTAAAGCTGGGGGCGAAAAGGTACAGCTCCGCTCGCGGACGGAGAGCCAGGGTGGGAGTACGCCGGGCTCCCTTCCCCCGCCCTTCCTCCCTCCGAGCCACCCTGAGTTTCTGCGGCCGCCGAAGTACCCAGAGCCGCGCCAGGCCGTTGGCTGCGCCCTCGGCTCGGTGGGGGCGCGCCGACCCGCCCGGGCCCCTCGGCGGGGCTGCAGCCCCCTCGCCGTCGCCCCAGCCCCTCCCCCGGGTCCGGAGCCCCTCCCCGCGCGCTTCCCCTCTCTCCCCTCCCTTCCCTGCCCTGCCTGCTCGGCCCTGCCTCCGCCTCTGCGCCCCCATCCTCCGCCAGCGCCGAGCCCCCCGGAGCCGGAGTGCGGCCAGGGGCACCGCCGGCCCCTCCCCGGAGCGCTGACAGCGGGCTCCGGGGCCCCCGCCCCGTCCCCTCGCCGGCGGGACACACCCCCGCCCCTCCTCTGCTCCGCCAGTTCCCGCCGGCCCCACGGGGCGGCGGAGAGAGCGGGCGGGCGAGCCGGAGAGCGGCGGCGGCGGCGGCGCGGAGGGAAGGGGCGCGCGGCAGGCCCACGGGGAGCCGTCCCGCGCGCGCGGAGCCCGCGTGCCCTCCGGGGCCGTCCCCGCCCCGGGGCCGAACCTGTGGGGGCGCCGGGAGCCCGGGCAGCAGCGCGCCGGGCCGAAGTGGCGGGTGGCCCCGGGGACCCGGGAGGCGGGGGAAGGAGCCAGAGCCGTCCGGGATGAGGTGACGCCGCCGAGGGGCGCCACTCGCTCTGTGGGGGAAGATGCTGGCCTACTGCGTGCAAGATGCCACCGTGGTGGACGTGGAGAAGCGGAGGAACCCCTCTAAGCACTATGTGAGTATTGTCTCAAGCGACCCCTGCAAGGAGGCTGGCCAGGGACCCCCGAGGGGGTCCCCGGGTGGCCCCTCGCCCCGCCCGCTCAGTCCCAGAGCTAAGTGCCCACAGAGCAGCACTCGGCTGTGGAGTTTCTCTGCAGGGCTGTGATCTCCAGGGAAGCCTTTTCTGTCCTTCCCTCCCTCCCAACCCCCGCCCCGGTTTTCTTTTTTTGGCATTGGAATTGGCAAGTGGCTGCCCCTGTCTGTCACAACGGCAAAGTCGTCTGTCCGCCTGTGCTTTGGTGGATGGTTGGAGGAGCGGTCGGCAAACCCTCCCCGAGGAGCCCCGTTGGGAAAGCATCTTCCGGGCCCTCTCGGGGGGCTCTCCCAGACCGAGATGCTTTCAGAAGCTTGTCCTGGGGAAGGAAGCCTCGCGCTCTCCTCCCACGTTTGCTCTGGTCTCTGTCTCCCTAGGCCTGGATCTGGGGACAGAGGGAAGCCGCTGCGCCCCCCGCTCCACCTCCACCCTCGCCCTGAGCTTTGATTTCCTTCTTAAAGTCATTGAGTCCATCGGTGTGAGAACTGTGGCTTTTCCTTTTATCCCTCCTCTGGACGTGACCCTTAACCGCGTTCATTTCCTCTTAAGTGATGCTCCATCTCCAGACACGAGGAGGCAAATGTTTGCTGTGGTCTCCGAGGAACGGCCGCTGCCCCTCCTCCTTCCTCCCCCAAACTTAATGAGAAGGAGCTAAGGTTGATTGAGCCCAGCTCCCGGGTTTGTGAGACGTGGCCCTCTTTCATCTCAGCCTGCCCTGCCTTCCTATCCTTCGCACCTTAGGAAGTAAACAGTGTCCTTGACGCCTGGGGACGCCTGCCTAAGGGGCTCTGCTCCTGTGTTTGAGATGGAGGAGACAGCAGGGCATCCAGAACAGAAGGACTGCATCTTATTTGCAAATGAGGCACTTAAAGGAGCGTTTAGAATGCTCAAAGCATTAATTTTAACAATTAGAACAGGCTGCTGGTTGCTGCCCTAGACTCTGCAGTGATCTCTGAAAATGCCTTTTATTTCCCTTTTGGAAGGGGACTGAGGTTTGTGCTCCTGTCAGCCTCAGACTATTCTTCCTGTCTTTATCAACAGTAGCTCTCAACTTTGGGTTTCTTTAGAGTCGAATAAATGGGTCTGGGCTCAGGTTGGGAAACTTGGTAAACTGGGTTTCAGACCAGAGAGCTGGGTGCCCGTGGTAGGAGAGTTGTTCTTTTGTGTTATCTGGCTCAGCAAGCATCCTCCCCTGCTGTTTCAGGCAAGCTCTTTGTGGAGGACTTGGGTCATCATGTGGTCACCCTGCTCCAGGGGTCTGTGTGCACATCCCAGCACTGATGATCACGTCAGCCTTCCAAACCTCCTTCCTCAGATGTTGCAGGCTAAGGTTTTAGGAGCTCTTTTCTAGTCCTCAGTTAAGGTTGGCACTACTTTCAACAGATGGCACTCTCTGCTCTGAGACCCAGACTGGTGCTTTTCTTGGCTCTGAATTTTATGTGAAACATCAAATCTTAGCTCTGACCAATAATGTCCAAGACCACAGGAGTGTGGTTAAAGCAGCCGCAGGCCCACTGCAGGCAGTATTGGGAAGTGGTTAGCGCCGGGGCTCTGAGTTAGTGGGCCTTGTGTAAAGCCCAGCTCAGCCATTAACTAGCTGTGCAACTTGGGGCAAGTTATTCAACTTCTGTGGGCCTCAGCGTCCTCATTTTTAAAGCGAGGATAATAATAGTACCTACTTCATAGGGTCGCCTGGAGAATTAAATGAGGTCATCCATGCAGAGCACTTCATGTAGTTCCTGGCACATAACAAGCACTCATTAAATGGGAGCTTATTACAAGTAAGATTCTGACTAAGAAAGCACTTTTGAAAAGCAGCTATTAATGATCTGGAAAAAAGGAAGATTTGGGGTTTTAAGATTGAAAATATCTTGTTCTATGTGAAAAATACAAAAGAAGTCTATCTAGTTCCCTTGAAATGATCACTTCCTCCCTTTTTATGGACACAGTGTTTCCCAGGACGTCTCAGCTTCCCCTATAAGAGTTGACAACATTATGTTTGGGGCAGGGAGTGATGTCACTGAACAGATGGGGCCATACAGAGCTCTGAACAAGGTTATGAAAAACAGTTACAACAGCAAGTGTTACACATTGTGGAATTGTGGAGCTGGCAGGGAACCAAGAACCCAGCCGGTTCCACCCCCTCACTTTGCAGATGAGGAAACTGAGGACCAGGTCAGGTAAAGTCACTTGAAACACAGCTAAGTGACAGCATCTTGATATAACTGGCCTTTTGCCCATGGTGTGGATTTTGTTCATCAAAGTACCCTAAGTCTGGTTGGGGTTGACTAGGAAGACAAATAGCTGGTGACAGCAAGAGGTTCCTACATAAAAAAAGGAGAGAGGGCCCGATAGAAAGTGTTGGTAGGGCTGACGGGAAGGAGGAACAGGTTGGGAGAGGCTGGGCCTCTGAAGTTTGGGATCTCCTCCCCTCTTGGCCCTTATACATTGGACACCATACACCAGATGGTCGATTTTTCTGGATAAGATACTCTGGTGTGGGTAGCTGGCAGGATACTCTGCACCTCAGTCTAGTATGTTCTAGAAGCTCTCTGCCCTGGAGGAACATGCATCCTTCCCACCTCTTCTCCACTGATGGTGAATTTTGAATCTGTGATTTGGCAAACTGCAGAGCAGAGAGGTTTTATGGGATGTGCATGTTAACTGGAGCTAGCTGATGAGAAGCCTGGGGCCCAAGGTCTGGGACTCTGTTGGCTCTAGAATGCTGGGAACACACTCAGGACAAATGTGTTTCTCAGGACATCCAGTGAAGGGTGTGTTTGTCCCCATGACAAGGAAGAGCTGCCTAGACACAGAGCCTAATCTTGCGCTTTTGGTCTGTTTATGAAGGGCAGGCAAGTGGCCTCCATCGTTTGGATGGTGCTGTCAGCCCTTGGCTTCCTTCCTCTCAGCCAAGCCCCTGCTCCTGCTTGGGGTGGGGCTGGGGGAGGGTGGGCAGCTACTGCTCAGTCCAGGCTTCCTGGAATGGAGCAGGGCTCCTCTCTTAACTTTTTTGAGCTGCCTGTGAGGAGAACTTTGATAAATTGGCTTTAGCTTTAGATCACTTGTCTTTCAAATTGTCCTGATGATGCTGGATGCAAACTGTAGATACCTTCGTTTGAAAGTTTTCCTCAGCATGTGAACTCAGGTTCACATAATTTTTGCACTCACTTGCATATGTAGGTATACGTCAAGTCGTATGGCGGTGGAGAGAAGCTTATTTATCCAAAACAAACAGATTATTTGTTTGGCTTTGGGAGGCATTGAGCTTTCACACTCGTTTCCTTTCCTGATTGTTTATTTCAGACAAATACCAGTCATGAATGTTCTGATCCCTCTACAGGACTTTTTAGGAAATGCAAATAGCCTGTGTTAGTAGTTACCGTCAATGGTGCCAAATGCTTACCGTGCATGATTTCATGTGATTCCTACAGGTCTTTGAATGTACCCTAACATGCAATAATTTCTTTGATTCCTATGTACAGATGGGTAAACTCGGAGAGGTTAAGATTGCTCAGGGTCTCCCAGTTAGAACAAGGCAGATGGGGAAACTCAGGTCAGTTTACCTGCAAAGGAGAGGATGAACCTAAAATGTGGCCCTTCTCCTCAACTGGGGTGTGGTTGGGGAGACCAGGCTCAGTCCTGTGTGACAGCAAGAGAACAATGTAGGGTGATTCTTGAGAACTATCTCAGTATATGGGACATTCACCTTATGCCATGGAAGGGGTTTGTGATGGTTAATGGAGGGGGTTCACTGTGGGGTTGGAGGAGAGGAGCAAATCCAGGATGATATTGAGTCCCCACTGATGCTTGAGTAGATAAATTAAGGATTGACCCTGGAAATAATAAATTCTCTTGTGTGGTTAGATCATCACAGATTTTGGTCTTGGTCCTGGGAGCTACATTTTTAGGTCTCTGCCCTTCTCTGAGCCCTTTGATTGTGGGTCCGGCCCCATGGGAGGAAGGATGAGTAGTAGCTGTAGCATGGAGCAGGTCTGCTCAGGGCCAGGTGCATTATGGAATGAATGGTGTTGGACAGATCAGGTTTGAATCCCACCTCTGGCTCTTTCTAGCTGTGCAACCTTAGCCCAGCCACTCTGGGTCTCACTTCCCCACCTGTAACTTCACAGGGCTTTTAGGAAATTAATCTGGCATGATTTGGGGTGAAGTTTCTACTTAGTACCTGGCCCTGTCCGGAGCACTCAACATTACTAGCTTCCACCTGGGGTTCCTCATCACCAAAAGTACACCTAGAGTAACATTTAGGACCTAGTATGTGAAGCTGAGAGAGAAGGAAAGACTGAGGCAAAAAAGGAAGGCCCAGCTGTTCCTAGTCTGCTAGGAAATCGGGCTACATGCCCTGTGGAAAACACCCAGCATGCAAGAGACAGATAAACAAAGAGCAGCTGTCCAGACCTGGAAGGCTTCCTGTAAGTTGGGAAGGAGAAGAGAAGAAACACGGCTGGGGGAGAGGAGTAGAGAGGTGCTTCAGGTAAGGGCACCAGATAGATCCTAGTCCCAAGGTCACTGCCGGACGTGGGTTAGCACTCTTGCCTGCTTGCTTTGTCTCTTTGCCTCTCTCTCTCTCCCTCTCTCTTTCTCTCTCTCTCTTTCACATACACACACACACACGCATGCACACTCATGCATGCACACACACACACACACACACACACACACACACACACACACACACACACACAGAGTTTCTTCTCCTTCTTCAAGGAGGGAAGTGATCTAGGGGTGATTCACAGGTCTGACAAGGCTTCCTGCTCAGGGAACAGCCAACCACAACCTTCAAGGCTGTTGAAAAAGGGAGCACAACCAGCCATTTGTCATGACACTCTTTAGAATTGAGTAAGGGTTTTGGGGGAAAATCAGTATTGAAATCACTGTGTGTGGTGGCAGGCAGAGGGGAGGTG